CTGAAAGGGAGAGCATTCCACCCAACCTGGTGTGTGACAACAATTGCCGTTTCTCTTTCCAAAGCTCCAAAGGGAATGTGCCTTCCCTTAGAAAGACAGGGGTTTACTAGTGAGGAGGCAGCAGCAAGCTCTTCCTCTTGACGCCACCATGGTCTGCCAGTCCGCACCGTTCACCTAGAACTGAAATCTTTAAAGCCATTGCCTTTCTTGGGGGATGAAATTGGGTCATTCACTTTTACTCTCCTGTTTCTTTTTTCTCTCTCAGTGCCTGCAAGCGCTGGCGTTCCTCCATTGCCGCCAAGTGATCCACAGGGATCTCAAAGGCGAGAACATTCTTCTTGGAATGGATGGATCTGTCAAGTTGGGTAGGTGTTCTTGGTCAGGCGTGGTGTTCCCGGGGTGTGGCGCGTGGGGCTGCTGGAGACTGCCTGCCAGTTTCCACAAAGCGGTGCCTGTGGGAGTGCAGGGAGCACTGCTACAAGCTGAGAGCACACTTGCAACGTGCAGAGAGGAACAAGGTGTCCTTGGCTACAGCCTTGAGCAAACCGAGCATGGCTGCTTTTCCTGCTGGATTCAGCCTCCTCAGGCTTCTAGTGGGCAACTCTTGCACTTGGCTTCATGATTCAGGCTGGCTTTCATGATCCTGGCTTTTGTCCTCAGCTGATTTTGGTCTCGCTGCTCGCATCACACCTGAGCAGAGCAAACGAAGCTCACTCGTTGGAACGGCACATTGGATGGCGCCCGAATATCTAAGTAAAGACGAATACGGAGCCAAAGTGGATATTTGGGCACTGGGCATCACGGTGATAGAAATGCTGGAAGGACAACCTCCTTATTTTTGGGAGCCTCCTCACAGGGTAAGGTGCAAATACTACCACATAACCACTGTCTTTCTAATCTGTCCCATGTTTTGTCTCCCATGAGAAAGAATCCCATTGCCACCAGCTGGAACTAGTTCAGCCAAGGCCAAGCCAACAAAACAAAGGCCCTGGAGCACATCTGCATCTGCTCTAGCTTTAGTTGCGTCACTCTTGAAAATAACCTGGAAAGCCTGTCAAGTCCGTCCTCAGAGAAGCAAAATGTGCTTTTGCTGATGGAGTTCCTCCTAACTTGGTCAGCCAATTAAATCAGCTGTCAAGGCAAGATCATTTGGATGTTGGAAGAGCTGTGGCTGCACTGGGGCCTTTTTCTTGGTGTTGGAAAATCATTTGGAACCCTCTGCCCGGGAAGAAACTGCCACTGGAGGATGGAGCGTCAAAAATGGGGTCTGGGTGAGCAGTTAGGGAGATGAAAGAAAGAGGTAAAGTCCCGTGTTTCCTTTTCCTCCAGGCCATGGAGCTCATCTTTTTCGATGGGATACCGGAGCTGCAAAACCACGAGAAACTGTCCCCTGCACTGCAGGACTTTCTGAACTGCTGCCTGCAGGCAGACGAGGACAGTCGATGGTCTGCTGAGGAACTTCTGCAGGTAAAATGCAAAGTGGCTGCCAGTGACACAACTGTCCCATGCATCGGTGTTCTCGTCTGCTAAACTCCAAGGCATCGGGTCCCCCACCTCGTACTAATCCCCAGAAATGTTCTGTCCTCTGATCATTTTGGTGGCCCTGGTTTGTATCTAAGGTAGCATATTCAGTTTTCTCTGGTTCCTAAGGCCAGGAACGGAGCCCTGAAATTGTGCTGGTGGTGGAAGAACCCAATAAAATCAGTGCCTGCCAAGTGGTCCAAGAACTTGGCTGTGGGATTGAAGGGGCTGGGGGGAGCTCCCCGTGAGCCCAAACCCTACTGGGATAAACATTTCTTGGTGACCTTGAGTTTCCTGAAGAGCAGCTTATGCTCCTCATCTTTTTTGACTACTAGAATAGCCCACGTCTTTAGGAAAGAGGAACCTAAAGAAGTAGTTTGAGTTGCCTGAAAGGGCCAAAGCCCTGGCACAACAAGCAGCCTTCCCACAGCCCTGGCAGGGCAAATACCCCATCAAGCTTAAGAATGGGTTAAGAGGATTATGGGCCACGTTTGCCTGGGATAACAAGGTCCTGGACATGAAGACAGAGGTGCAGATGGTCCCCTCAGTCCTATTTCTGCACATTTCTGGGAACCCGAGAAATACTGCTTGAGCTCGTGAGGAACTGAGTTTGGAAAGTAATGGTTCACTTCTTTTCTTTTCCTTTGGGCAGCATCCATTTTTACTCTCAGCCACGCCCCTCTCCGGCCTGACGACCCTGATCAATGCAGCGGAGCAGCTGAGGGAGGCCAGCAGACAGGGTTTTGGGATGCCTTCCTCCAGTTCCAGCGATGGCTGAAACTCAGAACAAAACTGAAGAAGCCTCATCCCCCTCTGTGTATACCCTGGGGCAGTTACACAGAAGAGGGGTCACTTAGGGCACAGGGCATCACCACCAGCAGGTGGTGAGCAACTGGATTGTACATTGCTTGTTTTCCTTGGGTTTCATCCCTTTCTTCGTTTTACTACTGTTACAATTAGGATTTCCATTAGTATTACTCTTAGGATTTGTATTAGTATTAGTGTTAGTATTGCTATTCGTATTCATATTGGATTTTACTTCGTTTCAATTATTAAACTGTTCTTATCTCAACATACGAGTTTTACTTCTGATTTTCCTCCCTGTTCCACTGGGGATGGGGATGGGCATGGGAATGAGGATGAGCATGGGGATGGGCATGGGGATGGGGATGGGGGTGAGTAAGCGGCTGTGTGGTGCTTAGTTACCAGCCCAGCTGGTAACTTAAACCACAACACTTCACCAGCACATCATTCTTCAACGAGTCCAACTATTCTGTCACCTTTTCTTTAAATGAGATTTACAATCTTGGTATCATAAAAATCACCCTCAACGCACCCGTGATTCATGGAATTCAATATCCTGTCTTTCAGTTAGACATGTTAGACATAGCAGAGAGTTCAGAATAAGGTCCAGAAGTCCTGAAACACACATGAAACTCGGGTGCAGATAAAAAAAGCATCTTCATTGTCTAGGCCATCAAACCAATTTATGCCATCAATTCTAAGGGGTTAGAATCTTTTTTTAATTTTCCTGAATGAAAATGTAGATGTTACCCACCCATAAAACTTGCTTGCTTTCCCTACGTTCTTGACCCTGGTCTCTCAAAGGCTTGTGTTTCCAAGGTTATGCACACACTGCACTGAGAAGTCCACTTACTATTTTTAAACTTGGTCCTTCTTAAATTCACTGTGGCCTCTAGCTGAAAACATGAAAGAGGTTAGTACAAATATTGGCATTCCATCCATGCTTTATTATTTAATCTATATACTTACCTCCACATTGAATAGTACTGACTGCTGAGTGGTCAGTGGAATTTTTTTTTCCAAGTTTTAGTAAGAAAAAAGACTCAGTAATAATTTTTTACTATGTAAATTTTTGTAAGTCTTTCTTGACTTTCAAAGACCATTTCTTTTGCAAATTAGACCTGATAGACACTTTCACCAGGCCTGCCAGGGAGTGCAGGTACCTAGTGATACAATACTCTACTTTTGGATTTTCCATCCCATGTCCTAGCAACAGTAATGTTTTTTCCCAGTCTAGTCCTACAGCTGGACTCACCCCACAAAGAAAACCACCCTTTTTTGATGCTCCAGAGCCTGTATACATCTGAATAAGTACTACTTGACTGAAAAAGCAAACAAACAAACTAACCAAAACCCTCATGCCCAGTTCTGACACTGAACAGGGTTTTACACTTTCTGTGCATGACTTTAGATCTTAGTTTGAAGCTGAGTTCCTACAGCTGTTGTTTTCAGATTGGGACTGTGTCTCAATGATGCATTTCATTACCTTTTCATCAGTGGCACCTTCCAAGTAGGGGTTGATTCATCAATTATAAAGTGACCACTTGGATTTTTTCTGGTTTTCTTTCTATTCATGGACATCAAGGAGATACACACACGAACTGAAACTACAGAAATTATATCATTCTGCCCACTGAAACAATTTACACAATGTCAAAAGCAACAGTAGCTTTATTCCAGAAGTAATTTCTAAACTCAGTATTGGCTTTTCTAACTGAAGACCATGTCAATCAGGACTATAAGTATTATATGAAAACATAAATTTATCTTGCAATCCTCTAGAAGACACACTCCCTGGAAAGAAATGACCTTCAAGTGTGATTCAGTTCCAAAAGAAGATTCACAGGAGGCAGACAAAAAGCTTTCCTAACTGGAAGAACTGTAAAGTTAGACTAGGCTCACAGCCAAGATAGACACTTTCCATCTCAGGAATTACAATAAATAATAACATCTGTCACCTATGCAGCAACAGAAACGAAATCCACTCAAATCTGTTGCATCAAAAATTTATATGCCAAGCTTTAGGAGCACTAGCAAATACAATTAAGGTGTTTGATTACACAGAAAGAGCCAAGATTGCTCCACAGATTAAAATACTAGAGTTTTTTTTAAAGAAAACTTTACTGAAAGTAGTGTTATTACTATTTTTCTTCCAAAACATTAATTCCTCTTTTGTTGGGCAATATAAATGCATTATTACTAGTGATTTAAGCTATGGAAATGAAGAAGGAACAAGAGTTCCTCCAGGCAGCCGTAATTTCATTTTACAAAGTATAAGATGGGAGAGAAAAGAAGGAGCATCCTATCTTCTCCTACTACCTTCTTCAATGCTTTTGCTTTTCTCATTTTTCTCCCTAGTACACCAGCAACTTCAACAGCAACATTAGCAAATGTTCTTTCAACCTCGGAGGTAGCATATCATCCACTATTTAGTCAGTTCCCTAACTTCTTGTGTCAGGACACAACTAATCGGGATTTTACTCAGTTTTAGCAGACCACATTGCTGTCTCATTTGTCTTCTCAACTAACCTCATTTGCCTACAGTTTAATTCATTCTCTCTTTAGTATTGCAGCCTACTTCATATTCCATCTCCTCCAATCTCTCCCCAAACTCATCAAGGGGGACACCATTAGCATATCAAGACCTTAAGGAAGCACATTTTCTATTGGTGCTTCCTGTCAGTAACAAGTGACCTTTGCTCCTGCTTTCAGTCTTTCTCCTCTCTCTCCTTATGCCACCCAAATTTTTAAGCCTTCCAAGTGCACAGTGCGGTGATCCCGCCACTCAGTACTTTTCTGCGCAAAGAAGAAGCTGCCTTTGACACATCACTCCCCTAAATTTCAGTTGAATACCATTTTATTTAATTTTTCACTGACTTTATTATTAGGGTGCTGAAAATACACATTCTTTCCTTTTTAAAGCACTCAGCCATAATCAAGCTGAGCCACATAACCATGGTGAGTACAAAAAAGAAGACTTCTCCACTGGAGGCGTTTGAGGATCTTCTCATCCTTCTCAAAAGGTGGGGCCCAGCCCCTGACACCCCTGAAGCACCTGCACCGTCACCACCCACAACTCTCTAAAATATCCAATGGCAGACAGAGTCAGAGGAGAGAAAAGATCGTTTTATTCTGGACATCGGGGGAGGGGGGGGCACAGGAACCACAGCACTTCCAGCAGCAAACATGAAGCAGCATCTGGAACAACAAAGAAGTTGCAGTTCTGCAGAGGAGTCTGCAGAAAACCCACCAGCACCTTCACCTGCACACATGCAGATGAAGCCCAGACCAGCTGCCTTCTGAAAACACACTGAGCAGCCTTTCCCATCAGGCCTAAGCCTGCTCTTCCAGGCAGCCACCCCACCAGCATTTACTCGAGGCATGAGC